GTGGACATGAACTAATGGGTATCCAAAAGTGAAGGAAATCTAGTGACACTGGTGTCACTCCTTTATAACAAGGATTTGGCATTTGAGCATTGCAATAGGTTTCAGCAGGTCTGGACTCTTCACTGATCTGGGGAAGACTGTAAATTTAGGTACTAGGGAAAGCAGGCACCTCAATGATATAGCAACATACTTGATGTCTGACAACATTTAAAAATCTCTAGAAACTTCCAGAAGATAAAATAACAACCATTTTGGCACAACTTAGATTTCAAAATTTGAAACAGTCTCATTTCATTTCTCTTACTGATTTTGAAAGTTATTTGCTTATCTGTATTTGATCCTTTCAGATTTGACAAACATCAAGGCGTTTGCCTTATTTATATTATCACTTTCGTGTCACGTTGTCCCTGTAAGTCTTTGAGTATATAACAGAAGAATTTCAGTTTCCTGCTTAACCCACTAAATTACAAGATGACTTTTCCAGTACTCTGACTTGGCAATGTTGGTGGCAGTTTACTGAGCTACAAAGCATTTTTCACAGCCTATTTGTCTGATATATTGAGTTTTGGATCAATTTTACTGTAAGAAAAAAATGTTAGGTGAGATTTTTAGTAACTTAGTGTTTGCTCTGTTTACCTGAGTTGACAGCTTTCCTCCTTGGGCTGGAAGAATCTGTTTAGGTTGGCTTTAATAGCACAATTTGTAATCACTTTGTTGGAGCTTGAACTGAAATCTCAACTTTATTTTCACTGTGAAGTACAGCAGGCTTGTTTAAAAAGGAACCGAGAAATACCAGCCTTGGAGTAGAATTGTTTTTAGAAGAACCTGTCAATGTCTAATAACCAGAGATTGTTTTCCTCTCTTGCTCGATTAATTTTTTTTAAATCCCAATACTTCAGATCACAGACAGCAACTTTTTAATTTGAGTGCCATAAATCTATTGTTCATTATTTAAGTACTTGAGAATTAATAGATTATCCTTGGGACACTGAAAATGCCAAGCAGAATGCCTTTAAGCAAAATCAGTATCAGTTGAAGTTTACAGTTACATTCGTTTTGGCTGTGTTATTTAGTTACTTGTGTCATTCAAAGGGCAAGAAAATTAATGTATTTCTCAAAACATTAGTACAAGTATCTTTTCTCATATTAGACAAACTACATTATGTCTGTTTCCACTGAGCTTATTGATAATGGTGTCTAGGAAAACATGGGCTCCAGCCTGGATCTTTCTTGCACTTCTGGAACTCGCATCCTTATTCCCCTTCAGAGCAAAGGGGTGTGAACTTCCAGAGCAGCGTTAACCTCAGGTGGGAAACTGGCAAATGGTTTCCTGAAGCTGTGAGGACCTTACTTACTTCTGAGACCCCTACCTCTTCATTAGGATTGATTAAAATCAGCAGAGTGCCAACATTTTCAGAGGACACATACAAGTGTCTACAAAGAATAATTACATAAGCTTTACAAGTTGTTCCTGCACCAACTGGCTTTTCATTGACACTTCCCTCATCAGCTGCCTGTGTTTCATAAAGTAGGTGATAAATGGGCAGGTTTACTGCTGCCATGCAGAATATGTAACTCCTGAGTTCTACCTGTCTTCCCTGCAACGTGTCCCATCTACCCTGCCTCCAATTTTCCTGAAGTTTGTCACAGCTTAATCAGTGAGGCTGCTACCTGACTGTCAGGTTTAGCTAATGCTGGTTGAGGTTTGGAAGCTTCTGGGCAAGCAGTCAAGATCTGCAGACAGACGCAAGGTTTTATAATCTCACCATCTTTCTATAGAAATCTCATTAAGAAGTCTATTCTAATGGACTCTTCTGTCGTAATTAAATACAAGGATGTTCTTCATAGTATGATTGGGTATAAGGCAGGAATTCTTTAATGTGTTGCAAGACTCTTTAACATTTGAATGCCAAATTGAGCTTAATCTTTTCTGTGTTAATCAGCATTTGAGACTATATCCATCTTGTGATTTACTAAGTGTGCCAAAAAGCTTCCATTAATCCTATTTCACAAGGACCTCAGTTATAACTTGGTAAATCAGAAATAACACAGTGAATCTGAGCTCTTCTAGGATTGAACTAATGGTATCTCATATAATGAAATCTGCAAAGGGAAGATACAGACGGTCTTAAGATGCAGTAATCCTATATACTTCATGCTCATCTAAAAGTACCTAGGATGCATTGTGAGACAGAATATTCTGAGATACTTGGAACACTTTCCTTTGCAGACTTCTAACACTTTAAAGCAAGGAGCTAAAGCAATGTAAAATTAAATGGGTATTTCCTTTTCTGCCTACCTTGTCCCAATATCAAACCATTTGTATTCTATTTCATCTTGTGCTAACATAACAAGTGAGCCCTTCACAATGTACAATTCTTAGGAATAATTTCTAGTTGACATCACAAGATTTTTCATATTGAGAAGAAATTGAAATTCATGGTACTGGAAAGAAAGATGTAATTAAACCATCTAGTTAGGAGTGGGGAAGTTCTGGTTCAAATCCTTTCTCCTATCGAGTTTTTATTGATTTTATCCCCTTATGTATAAAATAAAACACCTCTTTATGGGAACAGGGCTTACCTGCTCCTGACTGAGCATCATACCCACTGAACTAAAGCTGCTTTCTGTTGACCAGTAGCAAAACTCCCAACAGATTGCTGGAGACAGTACCTTTTCTACCACAGTTTCACACCTTTAAAAGGCAACAGCCTGACTGACAAAGCATCACACTGTGAGCCATGAATTTAGATAGCTTTAGACTGAGAAGGCCAGTTCCCTGTAGTCCAATGCAAATGTTGTAACCTTTGGGATATTATGTAGAGCAGCCTCAGTTGTTTAATGTTTGAAATCTGTAGTTTGATGTCTAGCACACTTTTATTTTTTGACACAACCCAGTATGAGTACAAATCACTGATGGATTTCAGTAGTGGTTGCGTCAGCCCTTTATTACTTGACATGCTTAGTTCGTTTTCATAAATCGGTCAGCAAGCACAGAAAAGAGTGCTGAAAGGGAACTGGAGGTTTCTTCTAGTTCATTTAGCTGTTTCTTTCATCATAGTGAAATTAATGAAAGTGACATATCTTGAGAAGGATTTCATGTGGTTTTGTAGTGTTATAAGTTTAGTATAGTATAGAAGTATATGCATGGGTACCTTCCCCTATCCCTATCAGTCCCATACTCTGCACACCATGGGTTCTTGCTTGGAGGCTGACTCCTGTCTTTGAAGAAATGCACAATGGTGCGTTTAACCTAGAGAGGTTGGTGAGTCTTTCTTCTTTGCCCTCCTCTTCCTAAGATACAAAATCCTCTTACCCCACCACAATCTCTTCTGTCAGCTATTCTCATCCCTAAACCCATGGTCTTCTACTGCCTCTGTGTGTGTGGCATTTGTGGTTTGCTCTTGTGCTTTGCTTTTGAAATGGGAAGCCCTTTCAAGACAGATGGTGGACACCACTTGTCTCTTACTTAGTTGTCTCTCATTGACATAGATACCACAACCCCAGCACTTAGGGAAGAAAATATTTTGGAGAATCAGCAACAGTGAGTTCAGAGAACAGAGCTTGTTAATTGGTCAGGACTGTGCAGAATGGCACTGAAGACACAGGAATAGTATTGTGAATAATCCAGGACTACGAGTTCCTGATAATATCGATACAATTTAGAATTACTTATATTTAAAATCATTACATTATTGTAGTAGTAGTATTTCACCCACTATTCTATGATCCCACCTGATTCAAAGGCAGGGTCAACTACACATAAATCTTTCCTGACAGAAGCTCGTCAATGTGCCTAGGTAATCTTGTAAAGGTTTGTCACTAATTCTGCCTAGCACTTTACATTCTGCAAGGTTATTTTATAGACTTAGGAGATTTATTTTTTTTAATGGCCAACAATGATTTTAAGACTTTTTAAAATCTGTTCAGCTTTACAATAAAAATATATTCCAGGTACATCATGAAAATTGTGTATTTTCAATATGTCAGATAAGACTGAAACTTCCCCTTTGCATAGCTTAATGGATATTCTCATCACTTGTCATTAAGTTTCAGAAAAGCAGTTAAATTGTAACCATTTATAAGTTTCATAAATGTGGATATTGGAATTATAATTAGAGATAATAAAACTTGACTACCTCAGTTCATTTTAGTATAAAATTATCTAAAAGTATAAGAAGTTTTCAGATATAGCTGAAAAAGTCATTAAGTCAGGCAAAGTTGTTATAAAGGACCTTCTAATGAATTAGTGATTATTTAACCTTTCGTGACTCAAAAGGTCCAGTAAGAACTTCAAGGCACAAACAGAACCGGAAGTGATTGGGAAGATTGTGCTCTCTCACTTACCCATGAGCAAAGTTTATACATCAAAGTTATTTCCCTCTTAACTTTGCATTGTGTGGGTCTTTTCTGTTGTTTTCTTCTCACTTTTTATGAAGGAATCAGTTTCTCAAAAAGTAATGTCACTGAGTAAACAACTAAAAACTACTTAATTCTTTTATGCTGAATGAGGAAGTTAATTCATACTAAACAAAGGTTTCATATTACGAAGCTGGATGGAACCCTCGTGATCTAGTCATATATGGATTTTTCATCCATATGACTGCTGTGAATGAATTCCTTTGTGAACTAGTTACCTTTTTGAAGAAAACGCCAGTCACCAGTAGTACTCATTGTAGCTTTAATTCAAGCTCTAGTAGTACAGCATGTAGTTCCTCAACCACATGTACCTGAAACATGTACCTAAAGACTGCTGAGATTTCTCTTGTTGCCTCGTCCACCACAGCTGAAATTCTCTCTTAGGTCCAAATGAAGTGCTAAGAATTGGATCTGGTACAAGACGCAAATCTGAAAACCCTTGTATGTGTGCATCTATGTGTAAACAGATTATTTTTTTCTTTTTTTTTAACTAAAAGCCAGACTTTCCTATCTTGTTGTATGATTCCAATTAAATGAAGACAAAGGAAACTAAACCTTCAAATGGTGTTTCTGTATTCAAGGATTATGTCATCAGTGAAGATGCGCAGAATCCCTCTGATTCAGTCTTGGCAACAAGTTCAAAAAGGAAGTCAGAGAATGAGAGTGAATCAGCTGTGCCTAATGTGGGCAAGCAAACAGGCATCTCCCCCTCCCTGGGTAACACTTTGGAGCACATTGTGGAGCAGCTGGATGTTTTAACTCTAGTAAGTATGCAATAACAGATAACACTTGCAGTGGGAAATGGTAATACTGTCAATAGGCAAAAAATCCCATGAACCATGTTCCTAAACCAGACTATTAAAGGCTATGGGGTTATTTTGAATAGTTGTGTAGTCAGGTGACTGTTCTGTTTTTTTCCTTTCAGCAAATATTGATCACATTGTGTTTGCTACAGTAAGAGCTTCCTGCTACATAATCATAAATATTATTATTGTATTTCTAGCTCAGGAAGAAAAGACTCACTGTTTTTTAGTAGTGAGATCTAACATTGATTTGTCAGAAGCCAGTTCTTTAGCAGATTCCAGCTTGAACAGTCATGTGTTAGCAGGGCATGAACAAAACAAATTTGTAATGTACCATTAAATACTTTTTCAAACGTAGTGTTCAAGGTGTTGGATAGGAATCTAAGCAGTGGAATAATTCCTAGTGTCAATGAAACTGCCCAAATACTGGTCTCCAGCAATGACTCTGAGTCACTTGTTTGCAAATGCTCAATACTACTTTTTAGTAGTCCAGATTTAGCCAATCTGTGTTTTAAGATAATACTCTGTGGTCTGTCATATATTAACATTAAACCAAATGAAAAGGGAGTGACTATTGCAAAACTGTGTTGTTTTGCAATACAGAATAAGAAATACAGAGTAAGAAATAAGTTTTGGGAAGTACAAACTCAAGTCGTCAGTTGAAAATCATTTGTGTTGTAAATTGGATCAAAAAGAAACTGCCAGCCTGTGTCTAGAAACCTTTTCTGATGAGGGCAATCTCTTGGAGAATGCCTTTTAATAGTATATTTTTTTTTCTTACTTCCTGTTTTGGGGGCTACATTAGAAGTTTCTTTTAGGTTTTTGGAAGATATCATTTGGGGTCAACCCTGATGGCTGTTTTTCTGTTGAAATATGGATGCAACTTTCACTTAGTATTTCAGAGTAATTTATATAAGCACAGATATATTGCACGCTCTCCGAGAAAATATTTTGTGAGCACAATTTTAAACCTTTACACAATCTCCGGAGATACAAACCCATTATTTTTAAACAGAGTTGTAAATAGTGGAGTAGCTAAGGAAAAGCCATTTTAGGATATTTTTTCCTGTTGAGTTAGAATGATTCTTCTTATGTTACTGTGTTGCACGCTTGTAATAATGTGTGAGTAATACCAAACCCATTGAAATTCTTGCCCTCTTCATGCAGACTGTTTCAATCCTGGAACAACGTCTGACTTTGACTGAAGATAAATTGAAAGAATGTTTAGAAAATCAGCAAAAAATGTTACTTGAAAGACAGGAAGCATGAAAGATGAAAACGAGCTGTACTGATTAATATGTTTCATATATTCACAAGGAAATAACAACTGTTACTTGGCTGGATTTTGCTATAAGAAAAAAAATATAAATCCTCCTTTTCTAACAAGTTAATGTAATAACTGACAGAAAAAAAAGCACAACACATTTTAAACATTGGTTGCAAGCAGATAGTCTGTTTGTATATTTAATAAAGTGCAGCCTAGCCAAAACTTGTGTTTTCCAAAATCATTCCCATTGAACATTGCAAGACTCTTATTTCAACTTAATAAGATCTTTGTGTACAACTAAGCAACAAACTACGTATTTTTAGATGAATAGCAATTATTATGGAAGTGCACTATGCTGTTTTTTTAGCTCAGGTAAGGATTGTCAAAATAATGCTCCTTGTGCTAAGGCAGCGTTACTCAAGCACCTAAATTAAATAAGACCTAATTAGCCCTAATTCCAAGAATGCCAGAGGTTTACTTTGTTCCTTACATACTCTCAAATATTTTACAAAAAAAGTAGTGACAGTTACTCTCTATCTTCTAAATGTTTTAGTGACGATTGCAAGATGTGGTGTAAAAACTTTGAGTTACAACTATGAAAATGAAACCAAACTTTGAAACTATAACTGCATTTGTGAATTCAGCTGCAAGACTGAAGGAGTCAAACACTTCTGCTTATCTCACCCCATCAAAATTCATGTTTCATATTTAGAAAAATAAAAAACAGCTTCATACTTCTGAATAATGTATTTGAACCAAACACAAAATGATGCAAAATCTATATCATAAATACAAAAGACTCTCATCTCTAAAGGACTTTAACAGGTGCTCAAATCATTAATCAGGAAAGACTTTCCAATGTATGATGATTTTGGTTTTATTTTTAATAAAAATGCAATTTTTAGAAAGACAATTGTAGGTCTTCTTTTTTAATAGAAAACATCTATGCTTCTTTATGTCTACCTATTATTATTTAAATGACAACTGCAGAAAACCACAAAAATCCACAATCGAAACTAGGTAGTCATCCATTGCTGCAACTTCACATTTAGTATGTTGAAAAATAGGACACTTGAAATGGGGGGAGCACTTTAATCCAATTCTGCAACTGACCGTATATAGATAAAGCCCATTTCCCAGGCTGAACCTCATTAACATCAGTAGAGTTCAGCTTAAGTCCAGAAGCAAACTGTGCAAATACTACAGTGGTTCGAGCCAAAGTAATGAGCAATCCATTTTTCTTTTATAGCTTTTCATTTTCTGTCACAGTAATCACCTTCAGGTAGCCAGACATCATCTCCCTTGGTAAATTCTGGGTTTTACAAGTGAGTACTACATAGTTGCAGCTCAGTCTGAAGGAGACCTATTTGTCACAGTGAAGAAGTCTCCTCTTACAAAAATTTTAGATGCAACTGTTTAGATGCAGCCTTCTAGCCACAGATTTTTATTTCTATATATTCCAGTGTAAACTGCCTGACCTTTGATATGCAATTGTTTATAATGGTATATAAGGCATAGTTATGTAAATACTGTCTTTTAGGTCAGATGTACTTTGCTTTATGCATTTGCAAATTCTGGTCTTTGCCTTTTCTTGGCTCTATTAGATGGCATAAAACCATGTACCTTTTGAAATCTTCTTCCTTGTTTCTTGCTTTCTCCAAGTGAACACTATATATATATATGCTTTAAACCTGTACAGAGGTTTTTTGTTGTTGTCATTCTTAAGCTTTTCAGGATTATTTATCAACAAGATTTGGAAATTTCCTTCTGGGTTGTTTTTTTTTAGTAAAATCTCTGCTGAAATTTTCCTTTCTGCCTTAGCTCCTACCACTAATCCTTCCTTTTCAGCACCTGTTATCTGGAGCATTTACTACTTAATCCAGTTTATTCCTCTGCTGTTTGCAAATCTGGTGAATTAACATTTCCAAATCAAGATATGTTCTTCTCATTCTATCAGGTGATTTCTTTATATTGAAATTCCACATGCATGACTCTTGGGGTGTGTGTAAAACTAGAGATGGTTGTTTCAGATCAAGACAGAGGCATTTTCCTCAAGCTAAATGTCTTTTAGCTAAATTTTTGGCTTAAAGCCAATTATTTTTCCAATTCTAAAACTTAAATTTTTGGCTCTTCTAAACCACAACCAGCTTACATTATATTTCTTTTAAAGGAACAATGATGTGGGCTAGTTATCTAATTCTCTTGATTCATATAATCAATATAATATAATCATATAAGCTTCCTTTAAAAGCTCCTGAAGAGACTGGTTAAACTCAGAAGCATTTACTCTAGGCTTTGTGCTCTGGCAGATAACTGGTGACTTGACTGATTTGAATTATGTTATAGAGCTGGAGGAAAATAACCACTGTTAGCCTTAGTTGTGCTTCTGCAGCATGTGGAAACGTAACTGTACAGGTCTTTAAATGACTATGAAAAGTGTATCTGTATTGCGGGCTGCAGTGAGGTATTGAAAACCCATATGTGTTCTAAACAAGCTGAACCAGGTAATTGATGCAGTGCAGCTTTCCTCAAGCCGTTATCCCTCTGATAGTAAATGTAAATAGGCCATGCTGATGAAGAAAGAGTGCTTTCAGTGCCCAGGCCAGCTACTGCAAAGCTGGCTCAATTACTTATTAAAAGTAGTAACACCAATGTCTGAATGATGCGCAGTAGATCCTCCTGGGTTTTGGGTGGGGAGAGAAGGTGGCATCTGGAATAACCTCTCCTGCTGGCATCACTGGCATATTGTCTCTGGAGGAACCCAACTGCAGATTTTGGAGGTGTCAAAGCGTTACGCAGTACTTCAGCCACTCGTTGTACATTCTCCTGCAAGTATTTCAAACCAGAAATGCTCTTCCAAATGGAAAGAAATTATGCCAGTTACTACTGTGCCTTGAATTTTATTTGTAATTCCCATTAAAGTTTAGTGGAATTTTAATGGCATTTTTATCTTGGCCATTACATAAAGCATGATATTGAGGTAATAAGTGTATTTTTCTCAGTTTTTTATTTTGGATGTCAATATGCACTTGCTTTAGGAGCACGCTTAGAGGTTCCTAATTATCACCATGGGGGCAGACACTGAATGGCTACACCTTGCAGTGTTGAACTGTAAGGCATTTCACTTCTTTTCTTTTGATCAGAACTCTGAGATTTTCAAATACCATGGCAAAAGCTGACTGAGACATCAGTTTGTGCCAATAACCCATTGTGCTTTATGGAACAACCTGACAACTCAAACTGTATTCTGAGGTTTTTTCTATTTCTGGGGGGTTGTTTCATTCATTTTATTATTTTTATTTTTTTAACACACCACTACGTTCTCCACATTCTCTATTACTTTCTACTGCTGCTGTTACATTCTTTATAAAATTATGGGTTTGGAAAACTAGTTCCTGGGGAGGAATGCATCTGAACATCTCCCTTGTCTCTGAGGGATTATTTCCTGCTTTTACATATGTAAGATTATAATTTATTGCTTCATTATCTTTGTGGCAAGAAACTTAAACTGTACTTTAACATTTTGATTCAACTAATCTGGCTGGAGAAATTGTAGCCCCAGAGGTTCTCCTCACCATTTAAGGATGGCCTGAACAGATGGGTGTGGCATGAGGGATTTAAGAAATACAACTTCCCACCTTTACTTGTGTTTATTTAAATGAATAAATCTGCTGTACTATTTTTAGGATAAGCAGGGTGTTTTGTTTTTTTCTTCCTTAAAGTCATATTACAGTGTTGCTGAATTATTTTCACTGCCATATCACAGCACAAAACCACTCTTGAGTCTTCACTGAGTGACAGTAGCTGGGATGTGAATGTTTTTCCAGGGATGTAGCTTTATATAACCTGTTTACCTTGTAAGACTTGTAAAAATCATAAACTCTGTGCTCCTTGCCCCAAACAATTAATGAATATGTATGTTCACGTTAGATCCAGGAACAGTATGTTCTTGTCAGAGTGCCCCCTCAGGGACTTTTGCATGCTTCGGATGCATAATACAATTGAAGCCGTTTCTTTGTGAGAAAATAGGTTAATGACTTGCCAAAAGGCAGAGATGTTAATTGGAAAAAGTGCATACAAGTCCTTTTCTTTACAATGTATATGGGTTGCATTTGTTATGACTTGCATCCAAGAACAGGTGCAACTTCAGTTGACTCAGCTAACAGGATGTGCTGAGTACACTCTTCACCAATTTCACCGAAAATTTTACACCCAAGAGAAAAAATATAGTTTCTAACCCAGTCAGTGACCAATAAACTGCATTAATTACCTGTTACAGAACATATTTATAACCCAGGGCTGTACTTAACATTTTCATAATAAGAAAATACGTTATTTGTTGGTATTGAAGAATTTTACTAGTACCTTATACAAGACAAAATGTGTCATCCCAAAATATTTCTTTTGGGAGAGAGTCAGCAGTTCTAGACAAGGTACCACCAGTGTATTTGTAAATGCAACCCAGAGCAGGAAAGTTGCTTATTTTCACTAACGTGTTTCCTGCCGCAAAGCTACGCAATCAGATTCAGGTCTTCACCTTGCCTCTCTTAATTTTCCCTGTCATCAGAAGTAAAAACTAATAAAACAAGTGAAAAAAAAACCAAACCCACATTTTGGTGTATCAGGGTCAGAAGAGCTGTTTGATAGTTTAATAGTTTGATTCTAAGGATCTTTTGAGAGTTTCTAGGCTACTTATGAGTCCACTGGAGCATACCAGTGGGAGATTTCAGTTTGGATCCCTATGTCTAACCTAACCTCATCTTTCGAAAGTCCCTCTCTCTCACATGAAAAGGGCTGAGTGTATAATTCAGCTGTCTGGGAAGCAGCAGTTGGCTACACCAGTGTAGGAACATCTAGTTCAGGAACCCTCTGGGAGTTCTGACATTAATGGGGGTACTGAGTTGGCTGGCAACTGGGGTTACATGATTTTCCCACGTGTATTGCAGGGACCTGAGCTTCAGAGGGCTCTGTGCACTTGCAGAGGCAGAATGAGAAGGAATTCTGAGGGTCTCAATGCCACCTGAATAGAGGATTCTGCAACTCAGAGTAGCAGTTAAAGTTCCTTTATGCCTTGTGTCCTTACAGACCTGGCACAGAGGGACCCAACTGCTCTTCAAAGCCGCCAAAGAGGAAGCAATTGTCAGAAGAGAAGAAGAAAAATCAGCCATTAGCTATCATCTTTTTCATCCTTTTGTGCTTTGTATTGTAATGAAATAGTACGTCTGTCTCAAGATTTTTTTCCTCCTCCTAATCCCCAGAGGAAATCCCTGCTCCTTTTACAGAGATAAAACCTTAGGACAAAGTGAAAGTAGCAAGAACTGTAAATCTGTGCTGGAGGCTGCTTGCTCACTGAAGCCTTGCCTGGCCACAGTGGTTGATGTCAAAGGCTTACAGTGCTTATTCCAACACCTGTATTGAACATCAGTTCTCTCATAAGATTCAGAATGAATTTTATAAGATTCATGAGCAAAGCATGCTTGCAGCAGTTTGCTGTATACAGGGACTTTATGAACATGTGTCATAGAGACAGTAGTCTGGGAAGGACAAAGCAGCAAAATCCTTTCTCTAATTTCCTCTAAGGAAGATGCAGGTAAGCCAAGTGCAATGGATTGTGCTGCTTCATGCTACTTTCATCTTGCACATCTCATAAAGAAACATCTAAGATGCGTTGCATTTGGGTGACAAAAAGGACAGGATGCTCCCAGCAACAGTTCTTCCTCATGAGAGCACTTGCTGAACATTTTTAAATCATTCTTTTTATTAATATTTTCACCCTGTGATATGTGCTGGGAGCACAAGACCCAGGATGTTTGCTAAAAAGAGCAATTTGAAAGAGAAAGATGATATGGTTGGTGATGGTTTCTGACTATGTCCAAGTTCTGCACTGATTACTGGGGGCATTCTGTTAAAATTAAGTGATGCTACACCTAAAAATTTTGTGAGGAAAAGCAAGGCTTAGCTCTTAATCTGTAAGACTTGAAAATTTCTCTATTCCATAAAACCAGCTTTCCCATCTCAGAAAATTTCATAAATGTAATAAAATGCCATTAACTTTTCAGTTAAGCAGTGAGTGTAATCAGGCAAAGTGTAGTAGATTATAATATTTGATTGTGTGTAACTGTGCTGAGTGGTTTCGGTCTGCACTGATGTTTCTCTACAGCTTCATTGCTGAAACACTGTCAGCTTTTGTGCAGCTTCTGCAATCTATTCAGTATAGACTTAGCCTATAAATAGCTGCATTATTGAAAGACTGTGAGAGGTTCATTAGAGCAGTTGTGACAGCCTCACTCGAGCCAGGGCTGATACAGTACCACTCCAAGTTACCAAAGAGCTTCAGCATGAAGCATGAAGCTGAGCTTTTGGCCGTGCAGCAGAGTTGATGCCCCTCCAGTTGTCCCCTCAATCGCCCCGGCTGCGGACTCTCACAAAGTAGATGGCACTTCTTTCTGGCTCCTGGGACTTCTTTCCAAATGAAAACACAGCATAGGGGAGCCTGTGTTCATGCCAACCTTATCCCAGCACAGAGCCAGGATGCAGCCAGGGCGTATGCCGGGGGCTGGGGCCGCAGGACATCCTGCCCAATGCACCTACCCAGCAGTGCAGACGCAGCCAGGGAGATTAGTCATCTTAAAATCACACGCAGGCATAAGTACTTTGCTGACTCAATAGGAAGTCGCTGGCTGAAACCAGTGGGACTTCTCACGTGACTGAAGTTACATTCTGAAAAATGGCTTAATTTTGTGCACTGTATTCCCATGACTGGAGGGCAAAGAAAGAAAATCTGAACAGCAGCTTTTGGTTGTTTCCCTTTAAAGGTACATGGAAAACAAATATAGTTATTGTAACTTGAGTTTCTAGCTAGTTTAAATGGGCACTTTGCTGTTTCACAGATACCTGAATTAAAGCCTCCCACTTCTGGCTCTGGCAGTCAAGTAAATGAAGAGTACTCAGGACTAGTCCCCAGTTTGTATGCAGGCCATATCCTACAGCCTTTTGGGTACTCTGTGGAAGGGATGGTAGAATGAGAGATGTTTCCAGTATCATTCAAAACCATAAAAAAGGAAATATCCTTCTTACAAAGAAAGAAGCTCTCTTCAGCTATCCCAAGCTGTGTCTGTGTTTTCCACATTTTTCTTTCTCTAAACGCTCAAGTTAGTAATTTCAAACGAGAGAGTTATGCCCTTGTTACATAATCTGAGTACTGGGAGGAAATTATCCCTATTTTTCTGTCTAATGGATTTGGAAGGAAAAGGGAGGAACAACAGTCTGTAATATCTGCAAAATGCTATTCAGAATGAAAACAAAAATGATGGGTACAATAAAATTGCCCTGTCCCCATCCAGCATCTCACCATTACTTTTACATTTGTGTACACTGCAGGGTAACAAAGCTGAGCCTTCAGCACTCCATCGTAAAGAACCAGACTGAATGCTTGAGGTCTCCTTTTCAAGATGTCACTTAGGAAGCAGTGTGTGATGTAGCCCATTAACGTTAGCTGTGACACACCCAGTTTCTTTATTATTATTATTATTATTATTAAGGGATGGTTATGCCATAAGAAGCACTGGCTGGGAGATTTCCAACAGCACAGGTTTTTGTCAGAGAATGCCGATTTGTCATGAGCAAAATGTTTCGCAGAAGCGTCTCTGTTTGGATGAACTTCCGATGAAACACAGGCAGGTTTCCATCACAAGCCTGCCTGATTTCCTGCCAGCTTGCCTGGCAGCTCTCCAGGCTCCATGGCTCCGGGACGGCTCTGGACTGAACCTGGGATTCTTCCTGACTTTTTTTTTTTGATTTTTTTTTTTTTTTCCCTTAATTACAGGGAAAAGGTCTTGGGAGAAACACACATTGGCTACCTCTGATTGTTCAGATTTGGCTATTTTGATAATAAGGACGTCACACAGCCCAGTCCCTTGGTTTGTGAGATGGGAGACCCAGATCAGCCTTTCCTCCCTCCCAGAGAAGCTGCTCAGGTTAAACTGCCCTGCAAGTGAAATACTTTTCATACCACATAAAGCTTCATTCTGGGTGTTTTCAGCAGCCCTCCTGGTGCCAATACTGTCTGCTCCTTTCTACTTTCTAAAACACCTAATTGCACTGCAGTTTCTCTGTACTAGCCGTGCCCTTCAGCACTGGCTCCTTCACCCACTTCTCCCAGGCCAGTTTCTGGTACAGAGGCTGCATCAACCCCTTTAGTGTCTTCTGGGTATTTGTGGCTGCTGGAATTGTGGATATGCAGTAGTTTATTGGGACCATAGGCACAGAGATGTACTCTACATAGCCGCCTCGGTGGGCAGCTGCTTGTGCTTTGACTGCTGCTCCCTGGTTTATCGGCTCCATCTTCCCTTGGAGCCAGAGATACTTCTCTGTACTTCAGTCTGATTCACCTGGGGGTGCTGGTTATTTAATTTTTCTTCTTTAATGTGGGGTTATCTGAGGGCAGGACCTTGTGCAGGCATCTGCCCAGGATCCTGGGGGCTCAGTAGGTGAAGCAAGCTGGGGAAGACAGATAACTTCTCTTTCACCTCAGGGCTTATGCTGTAGGCAGTCGACTTTATCTGCCTTTGTACTCCAGATTCTCAACCTCAAACAACCTCCTATACGGGCTTTTTTCCCTTTGGCCCATCAGTTTCATCAGTATGTTAATTGTGTCTGTGTACTGGGTTAACTTGGCTTTGAAAAGAATCTGGCTGAGAAGAAGCATTTGGCCAATATCAAGATCTGGTAATTTAAACTCTGACTTGATCTTGGTGTTACCAAACAACAGAATCCAGCTGCATGCATCACTTTAATATTCTCTTTAAGCATTAGAGTATCTCATTTTTTCCTCTCAGTTATGACATTTTCCCAAAACCCATTACATCTGAAAGTGGGTTGTCCAAGAGGCTAACGCAGCCCACAGGATCAGACTATTGCTGTCACAGCAAGGCCAGAAGCTAAAGAAAGAATGGCAAAAGAAAGGTGTGTGCCCCAGTGTAATTTTCTTGGTGATGTTATAAGCCCTGACAGACCCTGAAACCTCCAAAGAGAAGAGGCTTGAAGTGGAAGAGGCAATGCCAGCAGAAGCTGAATGCAGGCAGAGAGGTAGATAGAGGACAAACATGAACTCTGTTCTGCTTAAGTACAGCCTCTGATAATTAGGCCAAACAGTCTTCCCAATTGTACCCACAGTCTCTGCCTCCTTCAGCACTAATCCTTTATCCAGCCTATATTGTCTGTCCTACTGTAGCCCATCAGTTCTTTGCTTATCTCTTCCTGTGTTTTCACCCTCTCTTCTCTCCCATCCTTTTCCTCTGAAAAAATATTTTGTAGGCTACAATTAGTTCGCTTGGCTGAAGTCTTGTTGGGCATAGCAGGAAGTTTTCTGGATCACTCATGGGTGGAGTTTCCCAAAATCATCAATTTGTTATTAATGTATAAACAATGGGCCTGCCAAACCCTGGATAGCATGAGGCAACCTCAAAATGTGGTACCTCCTCACAGATTTCTCTCATGGGTTACCTAACACAGCACAGACACCAAGACCTCCCCAGTCACACAGCAAAAATGAGCGTGGGCATAACCTCAGCACATGCTGGGAGGAATCTGCCTCATGTTCACTTGTTTCTTTTGCTCGGCCTGAAGCACTGGTACTGATACTGTCTGGTAGATGCCTGTTCAAGTAGCCATGAGGAGCCATGATGGATACACAGAAGTGCAGGTGCATTTTCAGTTGCTCATTTCTGCCAGCTGTCATGGGATAAGGAGCTATGTAATAACAACATTGTTTGCAGCAGCTATGGGATCGAGTTTGAATCAGTACATTGTCTGCAAGAGGACTTTAAGTAAATAATACAGTTGGTCAGCACTAATATGGCTTGATATACAGAATCACCTCACTCATTTGGGAGCCCTTGCTCCTGGTTAGGAAGGCGGTGGGCAAGAGTTCCTACAATTATTTCAACCACAGAGTAGGAGTGCCACAAAGAGCCCTCATTTCCTGCATTTCTTTTTCAAAGAGGCCATTCCCACAAATTTCATATCTGAATGGAATTGTCCATGCTAGGTATCCTTCCAGGATCTGAAGAAACAGATAAAATGTGACCTCCTCCCCACTGCCCTTTGGGTGTTTGCTGGAGACCTTCTGGCACCAGAAAGCATACAGACAGCTGATGGGAGCAAACCAGTGTAGGAGACATTTCTTCTGAAAACATAGGCGGGCCACTCAGTGAAAGCTATAACAGAGAATGACCCAGGCCAGAAGAAATGTGGATGCAGTGGGATCAAGACTAGCTCAGCATGGGCACTGAGGCTGGGGTGAGAGAAGAGAACCACTGAGTGGATGGGGATGGTATAAGACAACAAGGAGTTTGAAGCAAGACTGAAGAGATTTGTAATGCTGGGAAAAGTCAAGCTTGGGACAGCAGGAAGAATTTACCCTTGTCCATTAGGCCCTGTTTCCTACCAGTTTGCAGAACAGCCTCTTGCTCAATTAAATGACTGTTGAGCCACTTGCTCGGTATCTTCCCCAACTGTGCACTTTCCCTATGGCACAAGTGGTAACACCCTGCTAGTGCAGTTGGTTGCTTCACCTGCTCCAGAGGCAAACATCAATGTGGTTAACTTGTAAAACACCAAGAAAATGCACAGAGAAAACTATCTGGAGGTCTGAGTTAAAATCATTTTACTAAGGCAGCTCTTGAGAATTGAATTTTATCTCTGCATCTGTATCATCAGCCTGGCAGCTGTACTCTGTGTAGGAAGCAGTGGGATGGAGATCTGAAAAAGGCTGGCAAGGAGGGGGTGTAAAACCCAAAACCTGGAGACTGTGAAGTTATAAGCAAATGGTTTGAATTCTTGGTTGAGATGTGAGAGATGCTACAGGGGAGAAAGCAACAGAATTAGAAGCAAGAGACAGTGAAAAGCAGTGCTATGGTTATAGATCCAGTCAATATCTTTTATGTCAATAGGAAGATGAAGAGGTGAGGGAAGAGCCTTTAGAGGGAAGGAATTAGTTCTGCATTAAAACTGTGAGAAGCAGAAATGTGAAAAGCTGCAGATGAGGTTGCATGCTATCCTGCCTGGGAAAAGGGTTCTGCTGTCTATCTAACCATGGGTTTATGAACCATAGCTCATGTTTATTTGTTGCTCTTCCTATTCGATTTTATGATGGTGAGTGCATCCTTTTGCATTTTTTAAATCAATGTGATGCTTGCAGATTGATTTGCCACACTAACATCCTCTCTTGATCCATTCAGCCTCTAATGAACAGCTCATGCTGACTTCCTCTCATGTGTTCATGACCCCGCTGACTCCAAGGCATTTTCCAGCCTCCTGAATACCCTGCGGCACTTTTCCCTTGCTCCCTTCTTGCTGGTGGCACTGAGCAGGTATCACTTTGGCTGCTGTGCCTGCTGCTCTGCCTGTTGAAAGCAGGAAGTCCCACTCTCCAGCTAGATGCTTCCCCACATGTATGCATCAAGCACTGGAGGCTCTGTGCCATGGAAAGGCAGCGAGCTAGGCACAGCATCATCAGGGAGCCCAAAACGTTTGATCTCAGACAAAGCCCAGCACTGCCACTGAGAACACTTTACTTCAAGCTGTGTCTGCTGCTTCCCCAGTTTGTCTTCGCCTGAAATCCCTGGCTGTATGGCGAGGGGAGAGCGGGTTTGCTTTGCAGGGTACAGCAAGGGTTTGGAGCAGCAGCCTCAGGTAGATGCAGGGGCAGAAATAAAGGAAACCTGCTCAGTGAACTAGAAATTCCCACACTCTGTTGTCAAACATGCTTGTTCACTGGTGTGGAAAAGGGAAGCTGAGGAGAAAAGAAATGAATTAGAAAGCATTTTAATTGGGATTACAGGCATATGGTGTGCTGCCATTTGTTTTCCCCTTCCTGCTCTGCAGTGGGGCTCTACCTTCACACATTTGCCTTTATTTGTCATGTCAAAAGGGGAGACAGCAAGCGTCTTTTTCCTCCCTCCTCTCTGGGGCCATGCTAGCAGCACTCCTTTCACCCCGAGCTTTGCCAAAGGGACAGTTGTGATTCTCAGCAAAGGTGTGGCCAGGTTGCAACAGCAGATTAAGCAGCTCCAATTTATTTTTATCCAACTTTACAGCTGTTGTTGGAGGGCCTTTGCTATTTCCCAGCAGCAGAAAGGGATGGATTCAAGGGGAGAGTGGGGACGTGATGTCCGCAGTACCACAGGCACGTAATTCACCAGCAGATGGATTGTTAGGTTTTATTGTTATGATAGTATATTTAGTGTTTTGTAAAAAGCTACTTAGGGAGCTGTTTCCCTTGTTGTACAGCAGTTTGTTAGCTGTAAGATTCAGACATAAGCCTTTAATTATGCCTAGCGTCTCCGCAAATGCAATTTCAGTTCTCTCCCCTGCCTCACGCAGCATCTTGGGATGCTCTGCATTTGAATGTGAGC